ATGGGAGCGAGCCAACTCCAAGTCAAAGGAGGAAGCGTGCGTCAGGCGGGTTATTACGACCGGAAGAGACGGCAACCCGAGTTTAAGGTCGGAGATTGGGTATGACAGAGAAACAGGATACTCTCCTCGGCTGCCCAAGGCATATCAGTCAAATTGGCGCCAAAATACGCCGGTCCGTATGTGATTGAGGAGATATGTAGTTCCAATACATACAAACTAGGTAATCAGGTAGAGATCTTGCCCGAGTTCTTCCATACCAAGGATCTTAAACCTTACTATGGTCCGGACAAAGAATAGGGCGAAGAGGCGACCAACGGCGAATCTCGCGAGCCGCATGAAGAAGGACCAGAGGAGGTGAGCGGTTCCGCGAGAGCGTGCGAACATCCGAGCGGGGATTTATCGAGCGAGCGAATCGAAATAGCAGTCCCCATAACCATAAGTAACAATCCCATCGACGCGTCGGATTTACCGATATCTGCATCAACCAAAAGAGGTCGAGGTCGACCTCCAAAGATCCCAGAGACGGTCACCGGTCAAGCAGGAGGTGATAACCCTCCCATGACGGAATCTAGAAGGAGAGGTAGACCTCGAAAGACCGTGCCCGTCATACAAAGCACGGTTAGGCCGATTATCCCGAACAAGTGACAGGAAGCGAGCAGTAACCGACGAGGACCAGGGCGTTCACGCAAGGATAAGCAAGGGAACGTGTAACGGTGGGATGCGGCGTATGGTCGGTTTTTTCTTTGCACAGGGAGTTTCATCCTATCTTTTTCTTTTGGATGTTACAGATGGACTGAAAAATCATCGTATACGAGAAGACCTTCGAGGTGGTCTCCCAAATGCTTTGAGATCTGCAGCTGGGCCCTGACGCAATGTAGCTGATTGAAGATATGCGCAGCTTCACCAGGGTCCAGTTGGAGGGGGCCACTCGAAGGGAGCGCCATCAGTGATCGGTGGCGGACGTTTTCCGGGACGCAACGCGAGTCGCCCCGAAGAAGGCTTGTCGGGACACTTTGACCCAAACAGAGGACAAGGATGAGGTCGAGCGTCTCAAGTCCAATATGGACCAGGGGGTCCAGACCCTTAAGTCCGGCGTACCCCAGATGTTGGACAGTGCGAGCCAGTGCCCTGGACCCAGGGAGACCTGTGGGACTCAGCACTGGGTCTGCAACAATCCCTGTATCCCCGAGCAGCAGACTCTCCTCCTCGATTTTAGGTGCATGAGCACCTGAGACGTTTTCTGAACCGCCAGGGGGCAGAAGAGCTGCTCGGAACGTGGGCAGAGGTGGTTCAGAGTCAGAGGGCCTATGGAGAGGCCCCACTTCGGGTGGAAAATGGACAGGTAGCAGTGCTCTCGGCAACGGCTTAACTGAAGAGAACCTCGAGAGCTACTGGTGCTGGGCCGATGCTCACGGTCACGTCGACGGACGCGTGGCTCCTGACACCACGATCGTGGTCAGTTCGCAAGAAGGACTTGCGACCGTCACAAGTCACCTCTCTCTCTCTCTCTCTCTCTCTCTCTCTCTCTCTCTCTCTCTCTCTCTCTCTCTCTCTCTCTCTCTCTCTCTCTATCTTCTCTCTCTCTCTCTCTTCTCTCTCTCTCTCTCTTCTCTGTCTCTCTCTCTCTCTCCCCGTATTATTGTAAAATTGTAAATCCTATACGCGTGCGCAAGTCTTTCGGCCCAACGAAGACTGTAGTTTTTTTTTGCGATAAACGTCTTGATTTTATTCGTACACCTAAAAGTAAGGAAGTGTCACAAATCAGGTAATTTAAGGTGAGTTCAACCCTGTTGGAAAAGGAGACATTGTAACGAAAGTATCAGACGTAAAGGCGAATACACGTATACTCATACGTGATTAACGGAGCGGTGGTTAGCTCTGCATCGTGGGAGTTTGTTCTTTAATAAATCCAATTTTTGCTAGCTAATCTACCCCGTTACAGAACACAATAGGAATTGTATAATTATTAATAGAAAACAGTGTTAGTTAAACATTCAATTAAATACAGCCATAATTTTTATTTTAATAACTTAAGAATTTTAGATATTAAACCGAACAATTGTAAAAGACTTTTTTTCGAATAGTGTCAATAGGTAAATTAACATGGAAAATTTAAAGGATTGTTATAAACTTTTCATTGATAATTATTATTTGATACAACAATTTGATACAATTTATTGAATTGTATTCATTGAAACAACTTTCCCTGGCTCACGATTCACTGGAATTTAATATAGTTTTCGTATATACAGGGTGTCTCAGACCACCCGTCCACCCCCCAAAGTATGCCGAAAAAGTTGTTTTTTTTCAAAAATTGATAACGCAATTATATATAAATCGAGTACGCTCTATCAATTGGACGTAAAATCAACTTCCGGTTCCAACCGGAAATGGCCTATTCAGACCGGAAGTGCATGAAAATCCATTTTTTTAAATGGAACATGCATACTTTTTTTTCAGATTCAGATTCTACGGTAAAAAATACGAAAATTTCATAACAAGAATTTTTTGAAAAAATTTGATATTTGACCTCTAATTGACGTCTGAAGTCTGTAATCCACCAGTTCGTACTCAAGCTGTGAATATGCATGTTTTAACAATGGAATAGGACAATGTGGCTCCTCTAAGAGGTTTTCGGGGTCGCTGAGTCCGAATCCAAGGTGAGTTTGATCTTATCAGGCCATTTTGAGGTCAATTCAAGGTCATTTAGAGGTAAAACAAAAAGAAATATTAGATTTATCAAGAATGAAGTACTTTTAAAATTTTAGCCTTAATATTACAAAAATATGAATCTCGTCGTTTTTCATTTATTCTTGTTATTATTAATCTATGTATTTACATAGCGTACTTTTATGAAATTCCAAAACGAATTAGTTAGCGAGATAAAAATCTTTATTCTCAAAACATAATAGATTTAGTTACAGTAGCAACATTTGTTTATAATAACATAAATAATGATAATTTGTCTTATTAGAACCTAACATAATGAAAACTTTTATAACATAATTAGATTTTATCTTCTATTGTTCTGTAAATAAAATTTTTTTATGAATAACGCTGAAATAACTGTGCGAAAATAGACGGTGAAGATTTGACAAAAACTTTAATGTTCAAAATGTGCTCCGCCTTGATAAAAAATACATGCTTGAACTCTTCTTTGGAAATTATCATCAGCTCTTCTAATTTCTGCTGCCTGCAGCGACCGAATTGCATCCGTCATTCTGCCAATCATATTGGCTCTCGTTGCCAGACGTTCTTGGTAAACTATGTCCTTTACTCTTCCCCACAAATAGTAATCCAGGATAGTCAGATCTGGGGATCGTGGTGGATAATTGACAGGACCAAACCTTCCAATCCATCTATTGGGGAACATACGATTCAAACTATTTCGGCAGATATGTGCCGTATGTGATTCTGCAGGCAGCAGAAATGAAAAGAGCTGTTGATAATTTCCAAAGAAGAGTTCAAGCATGTATTTTTCAAGGCGGAGCGCATTTTGAACATTAAAGTTTTTGTCAAATCTTCACCGTCTATTTTTGCACAGTTATTTCAGCGTTATTCATAAAAAAATTTTATTTACAGAACAATAGAAGATAAAATCTAATTATGTTATAAAAATTTTCATTATGTTAGGTTCTAATAAAACAAATTATCATTATTTATGTTATTATAAAAAAATGTTGCTACTGCAACGAAATCTATTATGTTTTGAGAATAAAGATTTTTATCTCGCTAAACTAATTTGTTTTGGAATTTCATTTCCCCTAATTTCATAAAAGTACGCTATGTAAATACATAGATTAATAATTACAAGAATAAATAAAAAAACGACGAGATTCATATTTTTGTAATATTAAGGCTAAAATTTTAAAAGCACTTCATTCTTGATAAATCTAATATTCTTTTTTGTTTTACCTCTAAATGACCTTGAATTGACCTCAAAATGACCTGATAAGATCAAACTCACCTTGGATTCGGACTCAGCGACCCCGAAAACCTCTTAGAGGAGCCACATTGTCCCATTCCATTGTTAAAACATGCATATTCGTAGCTTGAGTACGAACTGGTGGATTACAGACTTCAGACGTCAATTAGAGGTCAAATATCAACTTTTTTCAAAAAATTCTTCTTATGAAATTTTCATATTTTTTACCGTAGAATCTGAATCTGAAAAAAGAGTATGCATGTTCCATTTAAAAAACTGGGTTTTCATGCACTTCCGGTCTGAATAGGCCATTTCCGGTCGGAACCGGAAGTTGATTTTACGTCCAATCGATAGAGCGTACTCGATTTATATATAATTGCGTTATCAATTTTTGAAAAAAAAAACTTTTTCGGCACACTTTGGGGGGTGGACGGGTGGTCTGAGACACCCTGTATATTCACCCATACCCATTTCACATTCATCTCACTTATTGTTAATTATATTTCATATTGGTATATAACCAACTGTTATGTAGTTTAGTTACCATAAAATTCTATAAAAATTTAAACAGAACAGATAAGTGATAGACGGTTATGAAAATAATTCCGCGTATTGGTTTAATATACTATCGTAATGAGAGTCGATTATGTAAAGAAAGTGTAATTTATGAAGTTATAGCATTATGATGGGGTAGATCGTTAAGTTTTAGATATTGAGGTTGAAGTTTGTTAAGTTTTGTTTTTTCCTATTGAAAAATAATGACATAACAAAACTTAATACTTTGATATTCACATAACGCGCTATTAATTAAGTCAATTAGTTTATAAAAAATAACATATTTTAATAAATTTTAGGAGTAAATTTTATAAAATACTTATCATGACATAGATTCCGTTTATTTTGCTTATGAACAAATAAACTATTACACTGGTTTAAAAAATTGTAAATGATAATTATGTATGAAAGATTGAAAGATTATTACCAATCCTTCTTTTGTTGAACTAACTTTGTTTGCAAAAAGAATAACTACATTAGAGTTGGATAACAGTATTTTTAATTTTTACACATTACTTACTTTCGATTGAAAATTGTCAAAATCTGCAAATTCTAACGTAAATGGATCTGATTCATTCTTTACAGATGTAGATTTCAAACAACCAAGTATTGAAACGTGTGAGCCTTGACTTGAACGTGGAGGTGCCGGTCTAGGTGGTGGCTGTTTTGTTTTCTTAGGAGGAAGAGCTGGACTAGGACTTCCGGATCGTACTGGAGCATGCAGCGCAGCAAACGGATCTTCTCCAAATGGGTCATATACCTTTAAAATAAGTTTAGTATATAGTTGATTTAATTTATGTAATTCTTTATCATTGCTTTCAAAATACGATTAAATAAACGCATACTAGTGTTATATGATGGAATTTGCATACTCATTGTTTTATTTTTTTTTATGAGAGTGTGAATGAAATACAGTGACAGAAATACATAATTCATTTAGTACCTAACGAATATTCAGCAACGTATAGCAACAGCAACAGAAATACATTGCGTATGCATTTGCACTCATCAAAGAGAGAAGAAAAAGACGAAGAGACAGAGGGAGAGGGAGAGAGAGAGAGTTAAGTTATTCTGAAGTGTTTTTCTTTATTCAATATACAATTTTAACATATAGTTTGGACAATGTATTTGTCATACATGTTCAACAGAGATTTCTAGCGTTTCTTAGATAGATTAACAAAGAAAAAAACAGATATGTGAGAAGCGTAATCGATTAGGAAACAATCTATTTGTGAACGTCTTTAAAAGAAAAGATCAAAAGGAAGTAAGGACAAATTTTTGTCTCATGAAACTTAAATATAAATTTAACACACACACACATACACAAATATACACACACACACATACACACATATACATATATATACGTTTATATCTGTGTTATCAAGTGTTACGTTATTTCATATATAATTTATTTAAACGTGATCAATGTAACATAACTAAATGTATAGTGTTTTCATTTCCGCTTGATGGGCAAATCCATCTAGTTATCTTCGTTCTTTTTTACCGTAAAATTTGCTATATGACATGCAGATGAATTTACATAAACTATCTAGTTCATTACATACCTTGCGCGTTCTCTATCTCCGAAATATATTTATATATTATTACGCTATTAGTTATTAGTTAGATCTTAATGAGTCTGATTTCAATACTTAATTGCTTGTTATAAAGTGCCTAAAATAGTTGTACGCACGTGCCGGAGAATCGCGGCGTGGCCGTCATTCTGCCGTCGGACTGTCACTGAAGTCCGCGTGCCATGCGAGGTTACTCTCTACGCACACACTTATGTTTACCTTTTCTTTGTCGATGTGCGGCGTTAGAACAAGTAGCGAAAGAGAGCGCAGGCAAGCGGAAGAAGAGCAACGAGAGAGAGAGAAAGAGAGATGGAGAGAGAGAAAAAGAATTGGAAAATTTTCTTGCAGTATATGCAGATATAGCATAGGCCGTCGTGCGTGCCATTTTCTTCGCCGTTTTCCGTTGCAATAAAAGTTTTCCTGCGTTCTCGCCGACGAGTTTTGTCTTGGTTTTTTGGATACGCACTCGTTGTACGGAAGTTTTAGTAATATTGGTTGGGTCGCACCCAACCACGAGTTGAAAAAGAGCCCACACCGGTACACGTGAGATACCAGCGAGATGACGCAGGTGTGCGTGTGAGCGGCCGTTGTCGCGGTTGGAGTCTTTGCCGAGCAGTCTTAAGTTTGTTGAAAGTGACCGGGATGAGGGAGAGCATGGCAGCAGGAAGGAGGACGACGACAACAACAACAACAACAACAGCAATAACACTAACAACAGCACCAACAACAACAGCAACGATAGCAGTTTCGGTAACGATGGCAGAGAGAAGCAGGGGATTCGGTGGTCAAGGTCGGTGCTGTATTTCTCTCTTTCTCGCATGCTTCGGGCGCCGTTGCTACACGGATAGTGTGGCAGATCTGCCAGCTACCTCGCCGACCGTGGCCGTCATCAAATTTGTACAGACGTGTTTAAATTATGTTGAGGAGTGTGGGAGGTATAGGGAAGGCAGATCGGCTGACAGCCATCGGTTCGTTATTTGTCACGAGCGCGAATATACTTATCGAGTGCAGATAAGTCGAGGTTAATTTTGTTTTATTGTTATTCAGTTTTTGTTTATCGTAATTTTGTTTGTTATTTTTTTTATTTATTAATTGAATTTTGTTAACTTTGTCGTTGTTGCTTCGCCAGGCCACTTCTCATCCCGATATTCATAACGTGGTTTTGATCCATTTTGCTCAGCAGATCATTTGTCGTGAAAACGTTCGCACTTCCCGAATCCCTTTCTTTAAATGAAAATTGTATGGACGGCCGCGAGCTACAAAAAAAAGGAATTGTCGCAAGTTTCTCTGTTACACTCATAAATTGCTTAATATGCATTGTCACATAGTTCACGACAATAGCTGGTGCAGTACCGCTCAATGACATTTGCCACCCTGTTGACTAAAAACCCTACACTAAAGTTTTATATCTCGACTTATGGTAGTTGTAAAAAACCCTGTGGGTACTTATTTTGTAGGGTTTTCTAGTATCTATCAAGTGGCGTAAACTATGTCTTTTTTTAAATTTTTTTTCCAAAACTATGACGTCATAAGTCATAAAAAATGAAATTGATTTTTCTTGCCAAATTGAATGCGATATAATTTAAATGAAAGTGATGAGAAGTAAAATCTGTCTTTACCATTTGAAAACTTGTCCCAAATGCTACAAACCCTATATCAAAGAAATTTTTCTTTCATACGATTTTTTTGAGCTAGATATTATATAATTAAAAAACACATGTTACGACTCAAATCGTTATATCTTGGACAATATGGTCTTTACAAAAATACTAAAAGGAAAAGTTGATGCATTTTGATAAAAAAACCTATTTATAAACTTATAAAACGATAAAAAAATGTTTTCTCATTTTTTTGTTTTGGAATTTTTTACATTACACAGTGACTTTATTTACAATATAAAAATTATTTATAATTCTATAACTTGTAACAGGCGGGAGGAGTAATTAGTCATATAAAAGGAGAAAATGGTTGTGTACAATCCCACGGTGCAGAGCTAACCGCCGCTTTGTTAGCTACGTATGGGTATACGTGTCTTCATTTTTAGATCTGTCATTTCGCTCCAACTTCAAATAACTCCCAATAATAAGCTGATCTGAAGTCACTTGACTGCTGACTCTTGTTACTCGTACCGTGTAAACGGGCTTATGTTTACTTTTCCCAATTCCCTAGACTAAATCAGTTCAAATACTATGATTGAATTACGTATTAGTCAGGGAGCTAAAAATTATAAAACGACGATTTAACCTAAATCCTTTTAATGAGTTAAACTATACAATTTTAGTACAGGCCGAAAGTCTTTCGCACGCGTATACGTTTACATTAAATGCCAGGGAGAGAGAGAGAAAATACAACGCTCGGTGCTGCTACCTAACGGGTTATTCAGCGCTTATACTAACTATTATGCTAATAACGTACTATTAAAATATACTATCGCAGCTAGGCTAGTTGCACCTACTCTGAGTTACGGTTACACTGATCAACCGTAACCGTGCGTGCCAATGCATCTACTCTGACGCTCCCGTCCGATGCGGATGTTGGTGTTGTACCTGTTGCCGTACGCTCGTTGCTGCTGGTAAGTGTCACTACTCGTTGCTGATAATGAGGTGATGGCTCAGAAACCGGACACTTCTACTGTCTTGCCTATTTTCTGCTCACGAAACTCGAACGATGCCTCACGTAATTTTCACTTAGCAAATCTTCACACCTGCTACGCTTGCCAGTTCTATCGATATTAATTCTACTTCCTGCGCGCGCGCCCCCTCTTTCTCCAACTTGCTAGCTCGCGCGCCTCGCGCGCTACCTTAGCTACGTAACCTTCGTTGCAAACTTAGTTAATTAAAAATTTATTTAATAAACGTTAATAGGTATTACTTGAAATTTTATAATAAAAAAGTATACAAATAAATAGAAATATCTGTAGTTAAGAACTCATTTTTATATTTTTCATTATTGATTTACTTAATAATTCAGTTTTCAATGTTTTTTTTTAAATGTAAAAAATTCCAAATCAAAAAAATGAGAAAACATTTTTTATCGTTTTATAAGTTTATAAATGGGTTTTCCTGACCAAAATTCAACAACTTTTTTTCTTTCGAGTGTTTTTGTAAAGACCATATTTTCTGAGATAAAACGATTTCATTCGTAACATATGTTTTTTAATTAAATAAGATCTAGCTCGCACAGTACTGATTCAGACGTCGATCTGAGCAGACGTGTTTCGACGACTCTGTAAACAAAGTGCGAATTTTGGATTCCAATCCACGTCACAAATTCTAGTGCTAGTGCTTGTATCGTGCGAGTGCTTCATTGATCTTGCTCTCAAGCTGCCTTTACAGTTTGTGCAGCTTTAAAGATCTTTTACCATGACTTCCGTTAATGGAAGTCCTCTTACCCCTCAAGTTAAGCAAACCCCACAGCAAGTTACTAACCAGTCATCCTACGCTACAGACTTACATTGAAAAGTATAAAAACTATACTTCTAATTTAGATTTAGTGTTTTCAACAATAAATCTTTCCGGTCAAATCAACGTATTTGTACATGACGAAACCTGGGGCTTTGACCACTTTCCGGTATTCATTGACATCAGTCTTAAAAAGAACTTATATCGAAAAAAAAAGCATTCAAAATCAAATCTGTACAAACTACTGGCATAAATTAATGGCGAATACAGTCTGATACTTTACTGACTCTGTATAAAAGCTTTGTACGCTCCACTATTGACTATAGCTGCCTTGTGTACTATCCCACACGGGCTGATCTTTGTTCTATCAGGAGATATTATAGCAGATGTTATATCAGGAGAGTTCGGAGATCAGTTAACTGGACCTCCTCGACCTATCCACCTCTCATTAAAATTTCGGTTTAGAAATGCACGTACTGTTCGTGCGAAATGGGAAGATGCACCATCTTGTTGAAGCTACATTCGTCGTCGTGTTTCCAAATCGACTTCCTCCAAAAGTTCTGGGAATCGATCCGTCAGCAATTCCAAATAGCTATGTTGATCCACATTTCTATAAAAAAAATACGGCCCAATCAGGTAACTGTTGACTATGCCTATTTAATTTAATTTGAGTTGACTATTTAATTGACCATCGCTATAAAATTTACCCTCACCTGAAAACAGATCATATCTGAAAAAGTCTAGGTGATTTTCTACCGTTTCTAAAGCCCACTGGCAAATTT